TGGCTACAAAGGCCCTGTACATCTTGCTTTAGCAGCAGTGACTCTCAAGGCATACTGATGTTGAGTCTCCACTACTTCCTCTTCCACCTCCGTTCTTAGTTAATGACACAGAAACCTATTACATTTACCCACCAACCCACTCCGTAAATTGTGCAATTCCCACCGTATATTTCTGTGACAGCCTCAAGTTTCTTCTCCTTCAACTTTCATGAATACACCAACTCCTTTCCCTTCTTGGACACTGCTTTTGTTTGGGATAAATGCACTTGCTCAAGGGGCTTCTGAATTGCCTTGGGCCCCAAGCTCAAAGACAGCAGAACTCTTCTAGGATCCTCCCTCTTGGCTTTTCAAACTTGCCCAAATGAGGAGGAGCCTGTAAAGCACTCGCCAAACCTTCCAGAACCACCTGGGGCACTTGTTAAACATACATTTTACCTGACTTCTCAAGCAGCTGATTCAAGCAGACCATTTTTATTTTACTGGTACTTGGAATCCAACTCAGGGCCTTGCGCTTGCCAGACAGGCGCTATGCCACTGAGCTATATCCCCGGCCCAGACAGACCATTTTAATAAGCAGCCCAGGTGATTCAGGAAGGACCTCTTTACTGAAGGCATCCTGCCACCTTCGCTCTCCCTTTGAAGAACCTTCCTTCCACTCATCCAAAGCTAAGATTCTTTCTCCCCCAAAGTCCCACCACAAGGATTTCTCAATTCCTGCCACAATTAGTCATGTGACCCAAGGTACTATTTCGTCTTTTGGGTCTTTGGTTATTCCGTAAAGGTTTCATATACATCAATAGCAACTTGGTTTTTTTCTAGGTCACGTCTAGTTTTAAGATACAGCAAGCTTCTGGGGATGCAGCTCAGTGGTAAGAGCTCACAGTCAATCCCAGTACTGCAAAAACAAATAGAGACAGTAAGCAAGGTTAATGACTTGCAAATGTTCATTTAAGAGTGGAAGCCAGGTGTGGAGACACATTCCTGTAATCCCAGTACTCTGGGTGGCTGAGGCAGTAGGATCTCAAATTCAACCCCAGCCCAGGTAATTTTCCTTTTTTTATTGTTTTTTTATCCCCCCCCCACCCCGTAACGGGAATCAAACTCACAATCTTGCGCTTGCCAGGCTGGCGCTGTGCCACTGAGCTAAATCCCCAGACCCCCCCAGGCAACTTTCAAAGACGGTTTCTGAATAAAAATTTAAAAGGGGGTTGGAGCTGAGCATGGTGGTGCATGCCTGTAATCCCAGCAGAGCTAGTTTGAAGGCCCTGGGTCCAATCCCCAGTGCCACCCCCACCCCACAAAGAGTTGAATGTAATTGTGGAGCCATGGTTGTTATGGAAAAAGCCCCCCACAGTTCACTGTAAACTTACCACTGCATGCTACAGGAAAATGATGTCTTAAATGTTCTCCCATAAAGAAAGCAATCTATTCTGTGGAAGTCTAGTAATTACAGTATTTCCCAATTCTTCTGTCTCCTAAGTAGCTTACTCACATAGTTAAGGGATCTACCAAATAAAAGCTGCCTCAACTGAGCTGGTATTTGCCTTTAAAACTATACCGAGAAATAAACAGTGTGTTCCAGAGAGGAACAGTAGTCCAGCCAGCTCTTCATTATCTGAGGAGGAGGGATCTGGTGGATAGCATCTTTAATGCTATCCACCAACTACACTGCATCCAGTACAGTAACTGCAGCAACTGCTGCCTTTTTATGGAGGCTTCTGTCTCTGCTTGAGAAAAGGAGGCAAAGCGCTGCCATCATCTCCAAGGCCCCCTTTAAATTCTAACCTAGAACTTGAAAACTCCAAAGGAACTGTACTTGTCATACTTATCTTCCCAGTAATTTCCAAAGCCTAGGGGCACACATTAGGAAAGGAATGAATGGAATCAGGGCTGGGGTTGGAGGCTGAGATTCACCAGTACCCCTCCCAAGAATCTCTACAGAGGCAGGGGCGGGAGCACAGGCCTATACCCTTAGGGCTCGGGAGCCAAAAGGGGTGTTTCCAAGCTCAATGCCAGAATGCGCTACACAGTGACACCCTGTCTCAAAAGACCAAAAAAGAAAAAATATTTTCTACAGCAAGAGTAGCTTTCAGTTCCTTCAATGCTTATATCCCACATAGGTGGAGATGTCCCAATTTGGGAACATCCCTTTAGAGAATAATCTCTTTAGCATATGTGAGGCCCTGGGTTCAATCCCAAGCACCAAAAAAGCAACCTAGACTAGTTTGTTATTTTCATTCACTAACGTAGAATCCAAGAATCTGTTTTTGTGTGGTTAAATTGGCCAGGCTGGCCTTAAACTTGTGATCATCTGGCCTCAACCTGAGCCTCTCAGAATTATAGGTGTGTACCACCACACCCAGCTAGAATCTGCATTTCTAAAAAATGGTTCTGAGGGGCTGGGAATTTAGCTCAGCGGCAAAAGCGCCTGCCTGGCATGCCCAAGGTCGTGCGTTCGATTCCCGGTACAGGAGAAAAACCAAAAAAAAAAAAAAAAAAAAAGGTTCTGAAACTCTTGGGGAAAAGCTGCCCATGTGCATACTGGCTCTTCCCTCACCCTTCCTCAACTGTACCTCAAGGTCACAAGGGTTCAGGTACCATAAAAGTCCTTCAGTTTCTGTTATCTGTAGAATCAAGGGGCTTCAGACACATTTTTAGAAGCTCACTCAACACTCTTGGGCCAACAGTCTAACATTCCAAATGCTCTATCTAATCAGACCATCTACTCCCCAGTTCACACAGCTACACACGACACCCACTCAGTTATTTCACAATGTACCATATTCCTACAGAATATCCAAGGAAAAATATCTGACACTGAAATTAACTCGAAACAAGTGTTCATAGAGTCTTCAATAGCCAGTCTGATACCATGTTAAAAATACATCCCAGCCTAAACCAGGTGTGATAGTGTGTACTCCTGTAATCCCAGCCCTCTGGGAGGCTGAGGCAAGAGGATTCCAAATTCCAGCCCAGCCTGGGCAACTGTGTGAGACCATGCCTCAAAATAAAAATAAGTGCCAGACATGGTTATGCAGGCCTGTAATCCCAGCATTCTCGGGGATGAGGCAAGATAGTTTGCTGGTGTGAGTTCCAGGCCAGGCTGAACTGCACAGCTGTCTAAAGAGACAAAAACAAAAATGAGCTGAGGATGTAGCTCAGTAGGAAGGCCTGGGTTCAGTCCTCAGTGAGAGGAAAGAAAAAAAAAAAAAAAAAATTCACTAAAAAATACATCTCAGCCTAGCTGGGCATGGTGGCTCACAGGTGTACTTCCAGCACTCAGGAGACAGAGGCAAGAGGAACCCAGTTAGAGGCCAGGTCAAATAACCACGTTCAAGGCCTTCCTGGACTACATTGTCAGACTGTCTCAAAAAAAAAAAAAAAAAAAAAAAGTCCAGTGTGGTGACTCATGCCTGCAATACCAGCCTCAAGAGGCTGAGGCAGGGCGATTTGAGACCTCAAGGCAAAAGCCTGGGCTACACAGTGAGACCCTGTCTCAAACAAAATGACCACACACACACCCAGCCTAATCATCCACCAATTTAGTCGGGGGTGGTGGCACATGTCTGTGAGCCTGTAATCCCAGCACTCGGGAGGCGGAGGCAAGAGGATCACTTCGAGTTCGAGACCAGCCTGGGCTATGCGGTGAGCCTCAAGGCCAGCCTGAACTGCATAGTGAGACCCTGTCTCAAAAACACCCCCATCCCCTCCAAAATTTTGGCTTGACATTTAGATGATCACGATAAAGCCACACTGAAAAACTGTAGATGTAGCTCAGGAGTCGAGTGCCCCTGGATTCCATCCCTAGCACCCTCAAAAGGGAAAGAAAGGCGAACCAATACCACCACTTTGTAGTGCCCAACTTGCCCCTAAATCAATCCAAAAGTTCCTTACAAAAACGTAGTTACTTATACGAACGTCTTACATACCAGTAATCTAACAAACATAGCTAAAGCACGTTCTAAAAATAGTATAATAAAGTAATTGCCAGTTTTAAAGGAGAAATTACTTCCCAATTTTGGAAGCACTATTATGTAATTTGAGGCCACCGTTAAGGGTCCTCAGGCAAAATCGAAGTGGCAAAAAAAAGGGAAACCCCATGTATAAGACGGTATACGAAACTGGCTCAAGGCAAATGGAGGCATCAGTTTTATATGATCCTAACCCAGGTGAACAACGTCATAACGTTACCAAGGTCGGAAGGCTCTCAAAAATCCAAATGCGCGCAAAACTAGTCAACATATGGTATTAACACGGCTTTAAAAATCAGCTTCTAATGCCGGGTGTGATGGCGCACGCCTGTAATCCCAGCACTCGAGAGGCTGAGACGGGCGGACCGGTGCGAGTTCGAGGCCAGCCTGGGCTACAAAGCGAGCTCAAGACCAGCCTGAACTGCATGGCAAGACCCTGTCTCAAAAAGACCAAAAAATAGGGGGGGAAAAATCAGCTTCTAGGCCTCGCAACCCACACCAAGTAATGTGATTTTAGGCTTTTTTGCACAAAAATGCCCATAAGTACTGCAATGAAATATGTAACTGCCCTGGGTTCGATGCCGGCACCGCACAAAGGAAAACAATTACAAGGTGTCACCGAGAATGTGTGGCCTCCGGAGGGGGACAAGCAAGGCAGGGCAAGAGGGAGGAAAGCCGCGAGGTCGGCACGCAGGGAGCCGGCGGGCGCCCGCTGGCGCTGCGGGTCCTCCGCGGGAGGCGGGAGGCGCGCGGC